TCGAAAAAATAGATTTTTCATATGTTTTACTATGTGATCGACAAAAATTACGTAGACTTTTGTCCAGTGAGTGTATTGTTAAATCAGCCACAACTTGTGCTTCAATGACGTGCTGGTTTAAGCCCGTAATTAACAAACACGAAAATTCATAATTCAGCCAACAACTAGTTTCTGGCAGGTGTGACATATATACGTGGCGATGCCTCGAAATTTAATATTTTCCGTATTCGTGCTAGTACATTCGATTCTCCCGGAAAAAGCGGGATTATAGATATTAATATATAAATTTTTCAAGTTACCCAAATTCCATAATTAGTGTGGTGCCAAGGATTTGTGTTTCGATGAGCCCATCTGATTGGAGGATATATTAATACAAATTCATTTGAATTAGCCTCAAAAGTATGTCGAGGGGGGGAGAAGAAGAAATAGTTTGGAAAGTGGAGCATGGAAGATACGATATTACCTTGTCCTCCCTGCCAAGCCTTTTCCCCTGGCTGAGTGAGTGGGAAACTTAAAAGAACGCTGCTGAACCACAATTTTAAAAAAAAGGACAGTAAAACGTCAATATACACAGAAACTGCCGTCTTTTTGCGCGACCCCATTTTACACTGTATTTGATCCTGCACAATGCCAATAATCTACGAGAGAGAAACGATATCACAACGATTAGAACCGAACGACACTCAGCGAGCAACTTTATACGTAATTGGAGCATATTTCATTGGCATTCTAATTTTATGGAATTTACCATATATAAAACATATACTCTATCCATTTAAAGTGAGTATCATCCTTGAGACTGTCATGGCGCATTCACGCATTCTTGTCTCGATTTCCAACAAGTCGTTATTAATCTCGTTTATCAATACATCAGCTTTTAGTAGTTGGACTCCATGAATTCTCGCACGCGACAGCAGGATGCTGCACGGGTGCACGAATAGAAGCGATAGAGATTGAACCTAACGAGGGAGGAGTTACTCGCATGGTAAGTTTACGTACAAAACCAAGCATTGATGTAATCGACTGTTGGCATCAGAGTACGATGATACAGTGTTTTACTAATCTCATTACGTATGCCAACAACGCATAACAGCGTGGGGGTGTTCAATGCTGTACTTTACCTGCAGGTAACTATCAGCTGTGGTTATTTCCTCTAAATCTCAATATTCCTCCACGTGTGCCGCAATAAAGACCTCAAAAACTCAATCTTCCAAGTTGCTAATACAAATTTTCATTCCTTAAACAAGGATACCTGGGATCATCTCTAATCGGTGCACTGCTAATCTTCTGTGGCTTCGACATTCTCGCATCAAAGATCGCAGCAATTTTACTCGGTCTATGCCTCATTGCTGTTCTCTTTTGGGCACGTAACTGGCTGACCAGAGGAATTACCGTATTCTTTATTGGGCTGATTGTTGTGCTTTGGATTGTCAAGGATAGCGCAGGGCTGAAATACTTTGTGTTGTTTGTTGGGTACGTTTTGATTGTAAAGCCATATGAGTAAGAGTGAAATGGGGCAAATAACGTGCGTAGGATATTAACTTTATTGTTTGATATTACAGAGTTATGTCTTGTTTCTACTCTGTCTGGGATATTATGGACGATCTTGGTAGGTGTCTTTGTATTGTAAATCCTGCCACATTCATTTAGCTATTGGCAATTTAATTTCTCTGATACTGACTGACGTATCTGTCTTTTTCTTGCAACCAGTTATGCGTAAAGTAAACGAATCAGACGCATCGAAATTTGCCCAGATGTGTGGATGCTGTCCATCTCAAGTATGGGGTTTTATCTGGCTTATTATCAGTATACTATTTCTACTTGCTAGTGTAGTTGCTGGTATTCTCGCATTTAAGCAGGATAACGCAGAACAAAAACAGGCGGCAGATCATTTTTTGAAAATGTGAAAAGATGTGGGAAAGATTGGTTAGGAGAAGACGGACTATGTGTATTAATATTCTGTACAGTAAATTATTCATGCCACGAAAGGAGATAGATTAAGGATTATTATACTTTATTATAAACTTATTATGTGGGAATGCATCCACTTGTCTTGCAAATAAATCTTCATCGTATGTCTATGAATTTCTGAACAGGGAATAGAGTACCACTCTGACTGATAGCAACGAGACAAAAGTCGTTTTTCGTACGAGTTTTATCAATTATCGAACGAACCATTGCCTTGTCCTCATCATACTAGTCATACCATCTTTTGAATTCCGCGGTAAACATGCAAAATCGCCTCAGAGCAAACGCGCTAACGACATAGTATGGATGCTGGACGTTTAAAATGCAGTCAGCATTCATCACAAACCATTCAGACGAGTCACTCGTTCCCCCTTTGCTCAAAATGGTTTGGGCCGTTTTGATCCCGCGCGCGCGAGAATAAAATGCAGTCATTGCAGATATTGATGACTCGTGCACTTTAAAATTTCAACCCTTTGATTATGCAAACGGTTCGTTTTGTGAAGAGAAAAAACGATCCATAAAATTTCTCATACAAGGCCTTTACTATATTTTTCTTTTATATGCATCCAAAGCCTACGATATGATAAACAATTTTTATTTAGTATTATCCAACAGTAATAGTTCATTCTTATTGCCATTACTTCAATTACTCCTTGGCATGATCTCGTGCACACTTTTTTATGCACCGTAACTATCGTGAGAAAGTTGAGTTATTAATAGCAAATAAGAAAAACTATTCTATATTCGTCGTTATATAAATAGTAATCAATATCTCACGCTTTGGTTACAGCAATATATCAATAATAGTCATTCAACATTTACCTAAACAGCTGTGAGTACATGCCTAATGAAGAAGTTGAAAAGCGGTCCACCGTAGCTGTGCCAATAAAGGACCCACTAAATCAACTTTAATTTACTGACTAATACCTAAACAGTTTACATGAAAAAGGTCTGCGTGCATTACTTTAAGCCACGTATCACATCCAAGCAGGCGTCGCTCGAAAAAAAAAGGTCATTCCATAAACAAATCATTTTAATGCAGATGCGTGATTGGAAATATTCGTTAGTGGAGACATCTACATATTCTCAAGCTTCTAAAGCAAAGTATTCCTGAACTTGAAAAGTCGACTATGGCTGAGCCTTTGTTAGCATGAAAAAGTGACTAAACCTGTTTAATTCCGGTACCATTGTGAAACAGCAGCCCGAATATGGCGACAATCCGAATAATTTTCAGATACAGGGCGTTTTTGATTACATTGATGGAAGTTTCCGTGAAACAAAGGAAAGGCTAACAGATGGTAGAGGTGCGTAATGTAAAGTTTTATACTTCAATCCAAAGGACTTGACGTAGAGAAGCTGTTTCGATTGCTAATTTAGCATGTGTGGCGCTTTGGTATACAAAATTTACTAGGGTAATCGAAACAATACAATGATTATGAAATTAATAAGTAATAGTAAATACTAATGTGGGGAAAATTGCAGTGTGTTTTCTAGTAATATTAATATATGCAGATAAGGTTGATGGGCTGTTGTAACGATTTTAAAGTTATAGCTTCATTTTATCGAGGATTTACAAGTCATTATTGGCGGTTATATCGAATAGTTGGATCTATTATCATTTATTGTACAGTATTGAATCGAATTTTTAAGTTTACGACTACATAGTGAAACTCGTAAGTCGGACACGGTGGGGCGGGCAGTGCTGTCCGACTTATCAAGGAATCCGACTTATCGAAAAGAAAAAAAGAAAAAGAAAAGTGCAGAGGGATTTTGTCCGACTTCTCGAGTTTACGACTATTCTGATGCGATGGCTGGTCTAGACATAAATAGATGGATTATCATCAAAAATTAGAGTTCTGAAAAATTGGTTGGGTGGCAAACAACCGAGTCTTCGATTTGCAAAGATTATCTTATGGGAAATTTTTATCAGCTTATCAAAAGATTTGGGGCAAAATAATTCTTTATTTTAGAGTGATACTTTATCTTATGGCTATGACTTGTGTAATAAACTTTATTTTTGTATGCCTGAATCCAAACTTAAAGTTTAAAGAAGTAAAAAATTTTGCCTTTGACAATTGCTCCGAAAATCACAATAACTTGCAGAATTATAATGTAACATTGTTCAGCCTACGCATCATCATGCAATATAGAGGATTGTATAACAGTTACGAGTTGGGGTGGGAATAAAATTGATGATGGTGAAAATTGATGATGAAAATTGATGGTGATGGTGGTGAATTTAGAAAGTGTATCAGACGTGGTTAAGGCAGACTGAAACGGATATTAATATCTGATAGGGAAATATTAAATGATATTTCAATTATACCAATAAGGAGAGTGGGCATTTTTGTAGAAATTGGTGAGAATCATGAACTGCAATCAACTCTCTTTATAACGACCGCACTCGGGCCGAGCAAAATCGGTCGTTATATGCAGCGGTCGTTATATGCAGCGGTCGTTATATGCAGCGGTCGTTATATGCAGCGGTAGTTATATGCAGCGGTAGTTATATGCAGCGATAGTTATATGCAGCGTAGAACATATAATAATGACGTTTTTGAAAATGATGCTTAACGTTTCATCACCATTTGACTACCGTCTTGATAACGATTGTTGTTTGTGTTCTGTATCATGGTTTTACAAATATATCGTGTAACAATTACAATCTGATCGCACTGTGAAATACAATAATAATAATAGCAATAGCTATAGCACAGTCGCACTACAGGTGCACACCTTCCTTATATGTCACTGTAGCATCTTGGCACTTGCGGAAGTCGTGGCCCTTGAATCAGGTCAAGTGAATGCACGTGAGTTTCCAAAAACTTAGCCCCCAACCCAACAAATAGCGATCTCAGTTTACTTATTAGGTATATTCGTGCATCGTATTATTATGGACAAGTTAATTATCGCGCTTGGAGCCATGATACAATTTCTTACGCTATTGGTCCATGTCCGTTATTAACGTTAATTGTACATGCATAAATCACCCTTTGAGATTCAGTCAAGTCAAAAACTAATAAAGATTTGGGGAAAGTATCGTTCAGAAACAGAAGGAAGATGACTTGTTTTGATCTAATACATATATCCGGAATTAGCAATGCCAAGACCGGGTCTATTTATATTTATTTATCGTTCCCTTTTGTGCAAGCTGTAACAGGGTAAATAGAGTAGGTGTCACAAAATCGGTAGGTATATGTATATATATAGTACGTGTGTGTGCGTTGAAGAAGACTTGTTACTTCATAAAAATAATTATATATAACATTCTACATTCTTAATAACATAAGAGAATAAAAATGAACGTAAGACTCTGTATAATAGTATTAGTATTAATCTGTAAAATAGCAAACGGTCTACCCGGAGACCCAATATCGACTGCTTCGAAAATGTTGTGTCTAGTAAATAGAGAGCGAGCGATAGTATCTGCAAAACCGCTTATACTTGACGAGTGAGTGATTAGACTACTTGATTGTTCAGCTGCGTGAGTCAATTCATTCACCTATTCATACTCTACCTTTGTTCGTCACCAAAAAGCCGCCTAGCAAAGGCAGCCCAATTACACTCAGAATACATGGCCTTAACAAATAATTTCACACACGAAGATGAAATAGGCGATCTCAGGCAACGTATAACGGAACAATTGTTCCCTTGGTGGGTTGTCGGAGAGATTATTGCACGAGAATTTGAAGAAGACGAAGTGATTAATGTTATTGATGCGTAAGTACAAAAAGTATATGGTGATCTGTCTGCTGGGAATTATTGAAGAGTAATAACATATAAACTGACATTTCCTTTTTTTTTCTTCTCCCAACCTTTTCCATTCTCCAAGTTGGATGAAGTCGGCAAATCATCGTGCCAATATCCTAAACGATCAATACACACATTTTGGTCTTGGATACAAGGATGGTTTCTGGACAGTAAACTTTGCTCAGTCAACGGACCCTGTTCAAACACATGTCCCTATTTGTCCTGGAAATAATGTGAAGATTGGTATTCAGCTCTGAACGAGAAGAATAATGTGCGAAAAGAAAGATAATATTATTTGTTCGATATAATTTCATGATGTGTACACGACGTTATTACTGCATATGGATTTCTACGTAGTATTTAATTACCGATCGGCGAATCATCTGCTTTCAATAAATGGCACAAGTCATGTTTATAAAATTTTATCCGGCTCATTGTTTAGCGTGATTGTCCTTATACAAATAAGCAAGTAATTAGCATTACTGGATTAGTTCATGTAAAGCAAGATGGGATGGGATGGGATGGGATGCCCCTAATCAAGAAGAAACAATGATCCGGTGACCAAGGAGTATATCAAGGGGACCCCCCGATACTAGTACTGATCGGGAAACGTTCATGCATTGTGTGGTGTAATAGCGAAACTATGATTTGCCCAATAAAAGATCTCGTGCTCAAATGTTGCTCGCACATTGGTATAACTTCATGCTGTATGTTCTGTTTGTTCGTTATCGTAAACAACACAACTTTTATGTGTTGGAAATAATAGTATACAAATAGTCCTTGCTTCGAGCACACTACATTAATGGTCTGCTGATAACGATACTTGCATAAGAGTTTCTCGCGATAGCTGATAATGGTACAACTTGTCAAATAAGAAGGTTTTAACTGACTATGGGAAACGATTTTCTAATTTCTCAACACTGATCCACTTTTATGCTAGTGGGTTTTGGTTTCTGTATCAATGACAATCGTTCTATACAATGTCAGATTGTGAATGCAATGGTTTCTTTTGTCTCCCCAGCTGTAGACTGATAAAAGATGATAATGAGAGCTACCTTCTTTGTAATCGGTCAATGTCTTTATCGATTTATTGGTACTACTTTTTGTCAGTTGAAACATGTGATATTATCAAATCATCTCTCGTGTATTTTAAACGTTAACTTTAATTTGAGGTAGGGTGGACGGGTTCGTTGAAGAAATTGGCCGTTTCCAAATGTTCAATAGCACATTCTAGTGTATTTTCTGCAAAGTTGACATTGGCCTCTTTCGATAAAAGCATCTTGTCTTTGGAAACTTGATACAGTTTTCAGAACCAAACCACAGTCAAAAAATGTGCAGATAATAATAGTCAAGCGCATTATTACTTTAAAAACTAACACAATATTAAACCGCGCTAAAGACGGGAGGAAGAGGACGTACAAATGTAATGTAACAATCATTTGAGAAACAAACAAAACCATGAGTAATATGTACTCCATTTTTGACAGATAGACTAGTTATTTATTCGATATGGGTTTTGCTTCACTTGACACATATTCGACTTTGTTGTCAAGGAAACTCGTTATATCGGGACAAGAGCACTTGAAATATGATACTTTACGTTTCTAATAACAAAGACGATTACTATTTACCAATAGACGACGTGACATATCGACCATGAAAACATCAATTGATACATGCGTTACTCCACAGCATGCTGTACACGTGAGCATCCAATTTGTATACTTATGACCTCGAAACTTTAGAGAAATCCTCTTTTGACTGTCAAATTGTTAATTGCGTATGGTTATGGCTGGCAATAATCCTAGATTGCAATAAGTCGCCACAATCTTATTAGATATTATAATTCGGGTAACTCCGATGGTACGAGTAATGCAAATTCACGTTCAATTGAATGATTCGTTCTGATTCGTTGTGAAATCGTAAATTCTATATAGATCGCATCGGCAGAGATGACCCTCTGGAGAACAATTAATCTGTCGTGTGTCATAAAGCCTTGTTTAAGGGTCATTTACTGTTGTTGTATTTGACTAGAGCAGGTAAAATTACGGTTTTGCCTGAAAGATAGTTAAACCCCGAGAGTTGACTCTCCCGTAATTATTGACTTTGATAATGAGTTTTTTTTCTAAATATAACCGTTAAGGGCTTTGACATCAAATAAGGCAGCGTTTTACGCGATTAAGGTAATTCGACAGGGAATGAATAAAAATACTAACTCAGCACCTCTAAATAGCCATTATTTGCTGCATATGCTTGTGATTGAAATTTTAAATGTTACTGCAATATAGCAAAGACATTGTCGGTTCTTGTAGTAAGTTTCTCGATATTGTACCTGGTTCTTCTATCCAATCAACAACTAATAGTTAAATAGTCTTTTCCAACTATTATTCTCTACTAAATACACAGAGCACGAAAAAGTGAGACAATTATTATGTGAACGATAAATTAGATTATTAACATGAATTCTGTGCGCACTTTGTGTTATTTAAATTGTAAACATATGTGCATACAAACAGACATGTGGGATAATCAAATTCGGAACACTTCGAATTCTGGTTACATAATATCATTAAGTTTTAACAAGTAGTCAATAGGACAGTAAATAGAACATTATTAGTTGAGCAGATGGCGGACTGGGTATTATTATAAAATTTTCTTGTCATTCAAGTCTTTAAGTCGACCAAACGTCCTATTAAGGTGCAGGCAATCTTGAAGTCGATCTGATACTTTGAGTGTCTGAAAGTCAAGTTCATAGCCAGAGTATTTTTTCAATGTCATATATCAAGGGAGTTAATCCTTCTTGTTGATCTAAAACCACGCCGTCTCTGCCTACTCTAGCATTCCGTAAGTAGTAAATCGTTATTAAAACGTTAACAAACAGTTAAAGTGTGCATGTTGTATGTCAATTCTAAATGATATGTGTCAGGTTGAAATTATGTCAATATAGAATAATGTGTAAATTATTTAAAAGATATTATTAAGCAATGTTAACTAGTATAACAAATGCTACGAATTAAAAGCATTGTATTCTTACAAATGAGTTATTAGTGTGTTCTATAAGTCGCTCAATTTAAACTTTTTAAATAAGACTTGTTGACCTTCTAATTTCTAATAGATGTCGGTATAATTACAGGTACTAACAACCATTTCAGTTAATGGTAAATGTGGATCTAATCATATGATTATTTGCTCAGAAATTTTTATCAGTTACGGTTAGTCGTTTTGTCTCACCTCTACTCTACAAACGTCAAGCAAATTATTACACGGTCATAATGAATTATAGTGTAATTTAGCAATTTTAAGTATTAAACTGCATGAAGTAAATCTCAATATGTACCAAGAACTAATAACTCAATATTAACATTGTCCGAAATCTAATAAACTTGTCATAATATTATTATCAAACATTTGATTACAAGGAGTTGCGGGAGGGGAAAGACCGATTCTAATAAATTAGCAAGCAAAGATTATAATAAGCCCATATTTTTTTTGCTGAACAGATTAGCATTGATATAGTATGAGAAGCATAAAATTGAGTATATGATACATTACGATTAACATGCTGTATTTACATGCGTTATTATAGTCTTGATAATGAATAATAAAATACGTTCCTTCATAGATTATCCATTTCAATTTGACATATGTCAATTGAATTGACATAAATTCTAAATTAACGTAATTCCAAATTGACATAATTCCAAATTGACATACAACATGCATGTCAATTAGAAATAAGTCAGCAATGAAAGAGACTGTCAACTTTAACTCACTTCATAGTACAAGTTAAATAAGCTGATTTATTTGACTTTTTATACGTATAGTACATAATACATTATTACATACAGTATCTGCTGTATACTGTTAATATTTCTCTTTTTTTTACTCGCAAATATTAATAAATTATTATTTGATATACAAACACTCGTATATTAATACTGTTATTATAATAGTTAAAATTATATAAATTTAATGCATAACTGTTGCTTCCAATCGGCATGCCAAGCAGTAAACTCACCATCTATCTCTGACCAGCTTCAAGGACAACCACCGAATCAGTCCCACAACCCCACCAAGTGTCCCATTGAATCCGTTCACCCAGCAAACCCACCAGGGAGAGAAAAAGGAAAAAACAAAAGAAGAAAAAAAAATAGCGTTAGTTTATAACGTAAAACAATGCGCTACTTGCCTTATACTTACTCCACGTTATCTAAAAGCTGTTAAAAAAAAGAGATGTCTGAGAGTTTCCGGGCATCCCCCGTGACCCACTCAACAAACCCGTACCAGGATCACTTCACCCGCAGGCGAAAGTGGTGAGTCACCGGTAACTGCCCGTTGATTCGATTTGGTAACGGAAAGAACGTTTACAGCAGGCCGTCCACCGTACGCCAGGACTGGATACCCGACTGGCGACTTTCGCAAGCTGCGGCCACGAAGCGCTTT